TCTAGTATGTACCTAAATATTTAAAAGGACATTAATTTGTTATAACAGATTTTTGTCTTTTTTTTATAATAAAGCCAAGACTTAGATAATAGATCTGCAAATAAAATTTCTCTAGCCTCTGTGTACTAAGGAATGGATTTAACGCCAAAACTTGAACCTGTTGACTAGGTGGCACTGGCGGGACTTACTGTCTAGGAGTCCATCTATACTACTCTTGCCTATTTTTGTTGCCAAATAGTAGCGCCTGCACTGGTGTGTTTCCGTGTGAAGGGTATAGAGAGTCAGTATAATTGTAAGCGGTGAGACATTCCATTTCAAAAGCTTTTTTAGAGAGGTGATAACGCATCCGAAGCCTTCTCCGTTTGAAGTTGATTGTAGGTGTCCAAGGATTACCATAGTCACCATTAAGTAAAAAGAAATGAAATTTACGCAGGTTGCATCGCACAACACAACTGTATACTTCACTACAAATGCAAAATTGAATCGCGTCACTATACACGCACATTACAGCATTATCTACGCACACGATGGGCGTGACGAAGAGCATGACTTGCGACATGACGAGTATTGTGGCCGTACTACGTCTCTGCTTCCTTTCCTCGCTACTTCCCATGCCACTAGATGAGTGTGTGGCCGGGGGTTGACAGTTGGGAAACGAATGAAGGTACTTGTGCAGAGCAACGGCGATGGCGTTGCGGGGCAGTGGTCTGTGCGAACTTGTGCCAGCGCGCTCCAAAGTCTGCCGTACAATAAGTAAGTACATGCTATTATACCAATAGAAAAGTTGATGTTATCTATACAGACTTCAGGAAAGCGTTCGACAGAGTTCCTCGTGATATCGTACTCAAGAAGTCAATTTTTGATATTCATAGTTCTCTTTTAAAATTGTCATGTCATTGTAAAAAGTCTTGTCTTACTGATCGAGTCTTTTATGATAAATAATTTTATCAAAAGAATAATGAGGGCAACATAAGCATGGCTGTAATTTAACTTTACTTAATAACTCATCTATAATATTAATTCACACTCACACACTCAGAACACAACACAAACGGCCTAGTATAAAAAACACGCTCGCGTCAATAACATGTACTTGTTGTACAGCATACTTAGTGGAGCGCGCTGGCACAAGGTCGCATCAACCACTGCCCCGCAACGTTTTCGCCGTTGCTCTGCACAAGTACATTCGTTTCCCAACTGTTATCCCCGGCCACACACTCGTCGAGTGGCAAAGAAAGCATAGACGTAGTGTGGCCACAATACTCGTCATGCTGCACGTGATCCTCCTCGCCGTGCCCATCGCTCCCTGTTTTGTGGGCTTTTTGAGTGCGAGTCAAAGGACTGGCAATATGAGCGTGAGCCTGTCCAGGGGCCATACACTCGAGCAAACCGCAGGCCGAGTCGGGTACTAGTTACGGAAGCACCTTACATATCATTTAAAAGTCACGAATAGTGTACCTAGTTATGGATACACCAAGTCCCTCTGTTTTAGACTAGTATATTAAAATATATTATATTGTATTGTTTAGGCTAAGCAATAAAACTAACACATCAGCATTTTATGTAAGAGTCCTAGTACTTAGTTGATGAGTCGAATGTCTGCGTACGAACAGGCTCTTTAAAATTGATTCATTATTAAAGCCACATCCAAATCCGTGAGACGTATTAATTTAACTGTATTTTAGTTTTTAAAAACTCCTTTCGACGTTCCCGAAATTTGACTACCTATCATCATCATTCAGCCATATTATCACGTGAGTAAATATGTAATATACAGAGAACAAGCTATCTTAACGATGACACCGTATATATTTTTTTATGAAATTGATATAACTAGCTATAATAAATTAATAAATATGCACAGCTCGCACGCTGCGAGTATTCAACATCCAGTGTTGCAAACGCGAGCATCCCTGTGCGGAACGTCACGATTAATTGCGCGAGTACAGCAGTATGGACGGATAGACAGGGCAACATCGCGAGGAACATAGCGATGAGCTATGGAGTGTAGAAGTAAGGAGTACAGACTGTGTATTAAAAAGTGTCCATAAAAAACCGTTAAATAAGGGTGACGCCACTATAGTGCGTCGTATATATACGGGCTAAATTTTAAAGAACGCAGCGAAAAATATTAGTGGGATAGACGACTTTTTCGCGGTTATATTTACTAAATAAAATTATTTTAGATTTTAGAACTACTGAGCAGTTTAGCAGCACACTTAAACCGTCGACAACTGCTAAGTTAATTTCATCCCAGTAGCTACTCCAGCGCTGTTGTGAAGAGTTTTTGAACTGTTATTTACTGCTCAGAGATGGCCACTTTTTCAACTATTCTACTATGGGAGTTGGTACTCCTTAATTCTACACTCCATAGATGAGCAGCGCAAGGAACATAGTGTGGCCGAGCCATTAGACTCTCCTTAAACTGTGGCTTTATTAATCTTTACTATCTATGGCTAATGCACCACTTCATAAGTTGGGATAGCCGTGATGCACTGGCTTATGAAATATGAATGTTAAAAAATAAGTACTTCGAGCGCTACGGTTAATCACGAACCGGACATTTGCGCCTTAAATTAACAATTGAGCAAACTATCATCTTCACAGGAAAATTTATTATTCATTCCATAGGTCTAAAAGAATTTTAGATGGACATAAACTGGATGGTGGTACCTATAATAATCTACCTTAATATGGAAAGCAGCGTTTAAAGGTCCGGTGCCTATCTACAATAGCTAGTCCGCCTGTTAAGCATTTCAACTGACTCGATCCCTGTTGTCGGTACTACTAATAAATATATTTTATTTCATCAATTTTAAATGTTGTTTAAAATCTTCTTCGGTGCACTTACTCGGCGGAAAAAACATTTTCAGTAAACCCTAATCTTTAAAAATTTGAAGATGTGTGCAAACAGAGTACTGGTTTCAATACCTACCTAATGATGCAGTCAAGCTGAAAGACACAAAGGCTTCCCCCGAACGGGTTCCCGGATGGTTGCGGGGCCTACCGCAACAACGGTGGAGCCCGCGGTCAGAGAAAGCTCGGTTGGCGGCGGAGCCAGAGAGAGCCGATCCGCCGCTAGGGTTGAGAAAGCGGGTGCTACTAAACGCTCGATTTTCCTGGCCCCGTTACCCGTTACGAATGTCGAGTTGGAGGCCATGGAGGAAGGCGTACCTTGTATTCCCGGTGCGCCTTGCCTGATAAGGAGAATGGGATGGAAAAATCCTCGCCCGAGTAGGGGCTGCCAACGCTGGTGTATGCGAAAGCGTTCTCGTGGCCCTGCCAATATGCGGCGAGGGTGAAACGCCATGGGGTTTTAGTCAGTGCGAGTCCACAAAGGCTTCACTCACTGACTCACTGCACTTTTGCTTTCTTTATAAACCTTTTTTATCCACAACTGGTTATTAGGCCTTTTAGATTTCAAGAATTGGCGTATTTTTGAAAATTTTGCCCGTATTCACAATGCTGGGCAAGGTCAGTGTGCGCAGTGCGGTTACCTTCACACTTGTGACGTTATTCCCATTCACGAGTCTTATTAGGGTTTGTACTTTGTAATAACAGTCGACAGTCTCGTTATAGTTGGTGTGCCACGTGTACGTTATAAAAATTTATTAACCTCACCTTACATTCCAAGCATTTTCTTAAAGTATACCCGGGGGATTTTTAGTCCATGCAAATATTCAATGGATGCAGGTGGCTCAAGACTGTGCTTTGTGGCATTCCTTGGGGAGACTTACGTTCAGCAGTGGACTTGTGAAGGGCTGTGATGATGATGATGATGACAAAACTTATTCCTGTTTTCTCACTGGATAATGACACGCAAGCGTATCTATTAAACATGCAATTATTATCTACCACTGCCATGTTTCTATTTTTTTTTTTTTTGATAAAAATATTATTTTTAAATCAGAGAACCTAAAATTACTAAAGCTACCAAGTGAAACCCCTATTATCAGACATCCAGAACACAAATTATACGAACAAAAACATATAAGAGAAAATATACAGATTGCCAAAATTTTTCATAAATAATTCTTGAAATTTTTTTTAATCCGAAACAGTTTTGGAGGACGAAACCGACGTATACGGAATGATGATTGTGATAATTATTCATAATAATCAGTGTGAGCTGCAGTTGTCTAGCTATATCGTTTGGGCACAGCGCGAAAGCCATAGATCTATATTAAAACTTTAGAATAGAATATGTTTTTATTCTCTGTCTTTACTCTTTATTGGTCTGAGCCTCTCTTCATATTTCTTACAGCCCGGATAACTTTAAAATTAATTAAAGAATAAGTTTTGAACCTGTAAATAATATACCATAATATACAATGCTTATAAATTTATTTATTAATAGTGTAAAAAGAAAACAATTTTTTTCATAACATTATTTTAATAAAATAAAAAAATTCACATGGAATGTTTATAGAATATAAAAAATATAGACAGTTAACATAATAATAGTACCTACATTAAGCCCTTATGAACGTGTATGGCTATGGCAAAATATTTTACTTTGTTTAGTTTATCTATTCATATAAAAAATGAACTTCTGGTTTTAATATTGAAATAACTGACTTCATTTTGACTGCGGGTTTTATTTAAAAACTTTTATGACATGAAGAAGTGAACAACCATTTATAAAAAAAATTGTGTTTGTATGAATAAAAAAAACGAAAATTGATAAAATAAACGGGAGTTTGATAATTTAATTTAATCTAAATAATGCCCACATTAATAGATCCCTAACCAGGTGAAACCGGGAGAGGTCGCTAGTATTACATAAAGTACTGAATTATGGCGCGCAAAAACAAAGGTAAAAAGGAAAAAAATGTCTTGTGATCAAAAAGTAAACCGAGTCTAGTGTTTTTTGCGAAAAAAATGGAAAATCAAAAAGTAAATATCACAGCATTACTTTGTCTTTACTAAAAAATTCTCTAGATCAAAATGACAAATCCCTGTTACCACCGACAACTTATAGGTACAATTTTCATCAATCGTCATGACAAGAAACATGTTACTTGAAAAGCTATTATAGTTACAAGAGGAAGAATCAAGTTATCAACTTGGTCAGTTTTCGCTTCCACTAACGCCGACGCAGTCGCTGCTATCAGTGTTCGTATCACTGCATTCTTTGTTTCCAATAACTCTGAAAAACACGTTATAAGTGTATATTTTTTGGGCCCCCCTCTTTTAAAAGTTTTTCTTCTCACCACCAAAATACGTTTTGGTTTGGGTAAGACTTTTTTTTTCCCCCGACGTGGGTGTTGGGGGTTGCTGTCTCCCATCTTTTTTTCTTCCAACACAAGGGTCTGCGGCCGGGGGGGTGTGTGCTTTTCTTTGTCGCGGCCTCGTCTCCCCCCTCCTAACAAATTTTGTTGTTTTTTTGGGGGGGCTGCTACTTATTGCTCTAAGTAAAACACTTATTCGTCTGAATTATGAGTTGCATAAACAAATTATAGGACCTTCTGCCACAAAGTGCCCACTAGTGTACTGCAGTTTGTGAGTTAAGAGAGATAATGTATCGTAATTATAGGCTATGTGGCTTTCCATCTTAGTCCTAAGAAGTGATTTGTAGCTTTTTTTGGCCGCAGGTGTCCATGGCCTGCAGTAGACAGTATAATAAGGTAGACAATACTGTTACGAGCTTGAGGTTCGTGACAAAAAAAATTGCCGATAGAATTACCAAAATTAACTCTTTAACCCCTCACCTGATATCGCTCATATGACCGCAAAATGTAAGCCCTTACTTGATACCGGTCATATTATGACCGTGTCGCAAGCTGCAAGCTCCGAATTGATGTTTTGGATCGTGTTAGCAGGGCAGTATGGCTCTATAGTCTGTGCTTATTCATTTAAGTCAGTGAGAACAGACTTCCTTTAAGAAAAAAAAATGTTTGTCTAATCTTTTCGAGGACGTAGTTTCATGGTGTGCGTGAAGTGCTTCCGAATTATTTTTTTGTGATATTGTGATATTGTCTTCTTAAATTACGTTAACATCATGCCAAGGTAAGTGATTTTTCGTTTTAACTCAAAGTTATTCAGATTCGTGCCTGTAATTCAGGGTAAACAAATATTTTCTTTGATTACTACCATCAATTCGCCGGTACGCCGCTATTTTAGATAATATTTTATTTATATTTTAGATAATAATTCTTGATTTGTTGGAAATGTTTTTGTTGTTTTGAGTGAATAATTACATAAACAAACAGTAGTTATGTGCAGAATTCCTTAAATTCATTTTAATTTGAATATTTTACGGCAAATGTACTGCAGGGACTGGCCGGTCATATTATGACTGGTATCAAGCAGTGTCATTGTACTCCAAAATGGCGGATTTTTATTTACTAACACAGTATGGGTAAGACTGTGCTACCGTAAAATAATGTTTATAAATTTGAATTGCTTTTTATTGTTTTTAACCGCAAAAAGAGGTGTGTAAAATAATGTACACCCTGGGTAAATTGGTGAAAAAAAAACCTAGGTGCGATAAAAAACAAAATGGCGGCAAGAAAATGTCTCTGTCTGTCTGCACTTATATCCGTAGTGCATAAATGTATCAAGCGATTTCAATGAGGCTTTTTTATTTGGGTGTAAATGTATCAAGCGATTTCAATGAGGCTTTTTTATTTGGGTGTAATTTTAATATAATGAACTAAAAATAAAATATGTAAATTAAAAAAACCCTGACCCGTGTAAATACCCCTTTAGTACTTCTCTTTTGTGGTCCCCCGACCGAGAGAGACATTTCATTTTTTGACTTTCTTGTGTTTTTTTTTGTGTAGTGTGTTGTTAAAACTTTTTTTTTATTTATTTAAACTCCTTTTCTTTCTTTTCTTTGCATGGCTTAAGAACAAGAGGTGGTAAAGCGGTGGTTGGTTGAGGAGGTAGACGTGGGAGTGGACGCGGTGTGAATAGAGGGGTTGGACGTGGCCAACAACGGGGGGGAGGGACGTGGACCACGAACAAGAGGTGGTCGAGGGCGAGTGCATGAAAAGTGTGTGTTTATTTTTACTAAGTACATATTTATGTTTATGCAGCTGCAGCTGATTTTGAAATATACTGTTTTAATAGATCGCCGTTATACATATGTCGGGGACATCATTACGACGGATCCAGACTCCACGACGGTACGTGTTGGGAGCCCACTCGAGAAACCCATGCCACGGCGTTGGGTACCCAACCAGCCTGCGCCGTCGTTGGCTGAGTAAGTTTTTTTTGCTGCTGTTAAGCTGTATATTACATGTCAACTTTTCACAGATCTAACGCGACCTTTGCACACTTGCGGACACCTGGACTCTCGGCGTCTGCGTCGCAGGTCCCCTCGCCAGTTGACTATGTTAAATAGGCACATATATTTATATGTTGCTGCTGCCCCATCCAAAACCACAATTTATCGCTGGTTTGCTGAATTTCAAGTAAGGCTAGGTTTGTAAGTACACACCTCACTGACTTAAGTCACTTTGCTATGTAACAGTGTGTTCTGTGGATGGTGGATGTGGATTAAATAGGTAGGTTCCTTGCCTTTTGTATTCATATTGTTACGAGCTTGAGGTTCGTGACAATAAAAATTGCCGATAGAATTACCTAAATTAACACTTTAATTTTCTTTACACCAATTAAAACATTTTTTTTCTGCTCCGAAGCTTCGCTTGTCTCGCCGAATTCAATACTTCCCCGATCGCATCTTGCAGCGCCTATAAATACAAATTAGCACAGAAACATCCAGAAAATTCAAACACGCGCAAGGGGCCGAAAGTTCGAGCGCCGACTTCTAGAAGCTTAGTTCTTCGTTCCGAGACTAGATGGCGCTGTCGGTTGAAAGATTAGTGATGTCATTTTCTGGAAAGCTCCCCTCGCTCTCGTCCCCGACACTAGATGGTGCTAGTGCCGCGTACATGACGTCAAATTAGGCGCGTAAAACTGTCCCCTCCTAAGACATGCTCGTCCCGAGCATTATCGGCCCCATAATAAAACGCCAGGCGATCCACATGGGCGATCTTAGGAGTCCCCCCTGGCGCCTTTCTGTAACGGCTCCGCAAGTCAAGGGCTGTCCTATCCCATGGTGCACCAACATTGTACAATTTCGATGCTCCTCTACTACGTGTCTGAGGTCCCTTCACGGCCGCACAACTTGTACATGTACGACACCAATCCTCGACATCGTCACGATAATGGACCCAGTAAAACTGTCCTCGGACCTTCAGTAGAGTTCGGTTAACTCACAGATGGACTCTTGAACGACCATTATGGCACAGCTGTAGAACATTCGGCACTTTAGCCTTAGGGACAACCATTTGCAAACGACAGCTGTCCGACCATTGTCCCATTTACGGCACAGGACTCCATCCTGAATCAGCAAGCTGTCCCACTGGGCCCAATAGCCTCTAGTGGTCGAACTCATCGCTGAGACGTCGCTCCACTTAGGCTTGGTAGCACGGGCCTTCATCCATTCCAGAATCGGCTTGATGTCCGGATCTTCCTGCTGTGCATGTCGTAGGCTGTCCTTCCACTCGTTGCTGAGGTGGTCTGTCCTGAGCATCTTCACGGATACCACTTCCTCTCTCTCTCTCTCTCTCTCTCTCCTAGTACAATGTTTCCAATCTTCAGGACAAGGTCTTCTTGACAATGCATCTGCGTTGCCATGAGATTTCCCGCTGCGATGTCTGATAGTAAAGTCGTATCCCGGCTGCTGCTGGGCGGTGATGTTAGCCGCACTTCCCTTCTGAGATCGTTCACCTTCCCTTTCTAGGGTTCGCTTAGGGCAGCTGGATTGAAGATGGCCCCTTTCCCCACAGCCATAGCACCTAGGGCTGTATCCTTTATTGTGGTCGCGAACTGTAACTGATGCAACCACCCTAGCGCGAGGGGAACGACGATCCTGCCACCGCCAGGCGGTGCCGTTTGCTGCACTACAGTCTCGAGATCGATCAACTCTCCTTTCTACAGTTCGCTTAGGGCAGCTAGAGCGAAGATGGCCCCTTTCCCCAAAGCCACAGCACCTAGGGCTGTATACTTTGTTGCAGTCGCGAACTGTAGCTGCTGCAACCTCCCTGACGCGATGGTAACGATGATCCTGCCGCACGGCTTCCACCTCCAGTGCATGTGCCAAGGCGTCTTTAAGCGTCTCGTGGTGCCCGAGCCTCACAGCAGCTCTGACTTCCAGGTCGCAGATGCCGTCGATGAATGTATGCACCAGGTTCCCTTCAATGAGCGCAGGTACAGACCTGTATGATTTTTGCACCAGCTTCTCCATCTCTAGAGACCACTGCTGCAGGTTTTCATTGATGCACTGCACGCGATCTTTAAGCTGCGCACGAAAGACGTGTTCCAGGTGAGCGTCGCCATATCTCGCCTCCAATGCCTCAAGGAGTTGTTCATAAGTCACTTCCTCACCGAGAGCTTCCAGAACTGTTAAGGCCTGATCGCGCAGGCCTAGTGTAAGAGCAGTCATGGCCTGACTTTTATTCCAGCCGTTCGCTTTCATAACGGCTTCAAACTGGATTTTGTAAGCTGACCAGGAAGAAGTCCCGTCGAACGGTGGCACTTTGAACCCATGTAGCGAAGGTGTTGTAGCTACTACAGGAGCTGTAATTCCATCCCCCAGTTTGAGGTCGTCCAGCGTTTTCTTCACGTCAGTCATCATGATGTCTACCCGATTGTTCACTTGGTTGATTCTGGTTTCAGCTTTCTCGATTCGGGTTTCAGCTTTCACGTTTTGGGTTTCAGCTTCTAACAGGCGGTTGTCATGCTGAGCAACCCTATCCTTCACCTCCTTGATCTCCTTCCCGAAGGTAGCGTGAAGATTCTTCATGAGGAGTATCTGCTCTTCCAACGGTTCGACGGGCCTGTTCCTCTTGTCCACCCCGCAGCTGGTCTTCTACACGACGGACCTGTTCCTCTTGTCTGCTCTGCAGTTGCTCTTTCACCTGACGGACCTGTTCCTCCTGTCGGCGAGCCTGCTCCTGCAGCATCACCATCAGAGCACCTAAGTCAGGTGCTGCAGATGTAGGAGCTACTGACGGGCCTGCAGCCGGCGGCTGGCCCTCCGACGTCTGTGGCGTTGCACCACCAAATCTTCTTTGGTCCGTCTCCTGCTGGCGTTGACTTCGGGTACAGACACCCTCTGTTTCCTCCTTAGGTAAAATC